AAAAAAAAAAAAAAAAAAAAAAAAAATTCACTTCTATGAAAGTGTTTCCACTGAGCTCAATCCCTGGTTCCACCAAAAAAAAAAGAAAAAAGAAAGAGTTTCCTATGTTAGTACAGATTAGATTTCATCCAAAAATTAAAAGAAACAACAAAATCTGACACAAAAGAAAAGAACAAACATCTTATTTCAAACTATTTACCATCTGCTGGTTGGCAGTTTCTGCTTCCTGCTCTTGTCTTTCTCTCACTAGTTTGTGAAAATTTTTAATCTGTCTGTCACTGAAAGGTCCACGCTGGAAGCCATCCAATTCCAAGTGTGCTGCCATTGACTGAATCAATGAATCTCTAGCTCGGATATGTTCTTGATGGCGATCTGCTTGTAGCTGTAGACGACCTTTAAAGAAACAATCTAGTAACTTTTTCTCAGTTGATGTCTTAAATAACTAAATTCGAGAAGCTGAAAAACTAGTAGTGTAATCTGTTACACATTTTGCCCAGTTCTCTAACGAGAGCATGTTGTAAAAACTGCATTACAGTACCACAGCCAGGCTACTGACATGGATATAATCCATCCATCTTACTCAAATTGTCCAAAGTTACCTGCACCAATAGGTACATGTATCAGGTTTCAGGTAGTTTTTCCCTGCTGCCAGATTCCACACAATTTTGTCACCTGGAGCCATATATGCACCATAAGTCAAGATACTGAATCATTCTACACTGTAAGAATCCTCTTTTGCTGTTTTTAACCATAACTATGTCCATCTTCTCTCACCCCTCCTCTCACCCTGGTAACAACAAATCTGTGCACTTCTTCCTGCATTCTCAAGTTTCAAAAATGTTATATAAATGGAAAGATACTGCATATGAGCTTTGAGACTGGCTTTTTTCACTAAACCTAAATCCATGAAGATTCTTCATTCAGGGTATGTGTATTATAGTGAGGAAAAAACTGCAGTAAATATTTTGACCTACCTTGTTCGACAAGTAGTTCTGACTTTTCTTGATTGAGAAGCCTAGATTCTTTATTTAGCTTTTCCAGTTCACGCTGACAGTCTACTAACCTCCTTTCTTTCTCCCTTGCTACTCTCTGATGATTGTGATATAAGTCATTAAGTTGCTCGTCAGTACCTTGAAAAACCTACGTGACACCAAAATCAAATCTTTTAATGTATGAACATTAGAAGATACAATCACACTAAGGTATAAAATAGAAACTGAATCTTATTCAACATCCTTCTTTTTAACATGCACACAGAAGTAACAAATCAAAATGTGACTGGCAAAATGGCAAAACAGTTTCTGGTGCTCATTACCAGAAAGCATCCCCAAATTTTCAAGTAGAAGTAAATGCTGCCACCACAAACCTTTTCCATTTTCTGTTCTAATTCACTGTTATCTTTTTCCATTTGCTTTTTTCGGCTTTCCAAGGCTTTAATTTCATTGTCAAGTCTCATTATTTTAGAGAGATTGTGTTCAATTTCTTTTAGGCGATTCTAAAAATAAAAGCATTACACATAAATAAAATTCACTCTAGTTTATACCGCTGATAGGTGAAGGGTAATAGAAGTGCAAGGGCTACTTCTCTCACTCAATGCTAACAAGGGGGCTTTAAAGGAAGCAGAGAAAATGAGGGGCACAGACATGAAGTAACTCGCCTAAGGCCTCATAGCTAGTAAAGAAAAGCATAACTTAAAATTCTCTTTCTCTTTTGGTACTGGAGATTGAACCAGGGCCTTGTGCACACTTGGCAAGGGCTGTATCCCTGAGCTGTATATATATATATACACACCCTTAATTTTCATTTTTAATTTCAAAGCCAATGCTCTGCCCAGAATACCTCACAAAAGTAATTCACTCAGGGCACTGAGAGCTACAATACACAAAGTACATTTTTAAGAATCTGATCTTTAAAGGCCAATTTATTTTTGCTTTTTACTGTTATTTTTTACAGCATTGGGGATTAAACCCAAGGCCTCACACATGCTGGGCAAGTGCACTACTATATTCTCAAGGACTCAGTGATATTCTCAGCCCTAAATTATTTTTAAAATACCACAACTGAGGGAAGCAGAAAGTTATTGAGTTGGTAGCACATTCTGAGCCCATAGGAAAATTTACACGAATGACTGCATTCCAAGCCCAACAGTTCTGAAGCACAGAGGCCTGGGAGCAGGCGAAGTATGACCAATGAATAACCTTGGTAGTCTGCTCCCAACATCTGCTTCCACGGCGGCTGACTGCCTCACCTTCTAGAACTGTGTGACCTGGTGTAGGGCGCACTCTCCTTGCGTGATGCTAGGGATACTCTCCCAGGCTTTGGCGCTACAATTCCAAACATGACCAACTCTTCTAAGACAGTTTTAGAATCTCATTCTTAAATTAATATACTGCATTTTAAGATACTGAAGTATTTAAATATCAGCTACAAACCTCCACAGCTGAACCAAAATGCATCATTACCTTTTTTTTTTCGGAACCAGGGATTGAACTCATGCCTTTGTGCTTGTCAGGGAAGCGCTTGTTCCACTGAGCCATCTCCCCGGCCCTTAACTTTTATCATTAAGATCATATACTAACAATATATCTCGTGATTTGTATACTAATAGTACAAAAGCTCTACATCAACTTTTACTTTGTTCCCTAACGTATCCCCAGCACAAGAAAGAGATATTTAATATTAGCTAAATGAAAGATTTAAAAAATTTTCCTGATAACATCTATCAATTATTAAATGCCTCAGACATTATACCAGGTACTGCTACAAATTCTCTCTAATCTTCACAGGACTACATGCTGAGCAGGAGACTCAGATGGCTTAATTGATTTGCACAAAACCATACGTAAGGGCAGGCCAAATAGCTCAGCGGATTAAAGCGCCTGCCTAGGCAGACTCAGGGGCTGAGAGTTCAATCCCCTGGCCTGCCGTGCCAGGCCTGCAACTGAAACTGGGCATGGTAGTGTGCACCTGTAATCCCAGCACTTTAACCTTTTCCTCCTATCACATTAAAAAACTAGGGCTGGGGATCTAGAGCAGTGGTACAACCCTGGCCTGGGAAGCATAAGGTCAAGCGTGATTTCTAGTACCAAAAAAATAAAAAGTTAAACTGAAATGAAACATATGATTAAATATAAGAATTCAAATTACTAAGTCTTTTAGACAAAAAAATAGAGAAATTTTTCTGCTTTGGGTCAGCCAAAGATTTCCTAGATACAAACAAAAAGCACAAGAGATAGAGAAAAAAAAAAAAAAACTGATAAATTGTACCTCATCAAAATTCAAAACTTCTGGGGCTGGTGAGATGGCTCAGTGGTCTAAAGCACC